TCGATATTTCCACTGGGCTGAAATTTCCAGTGGAGGAACTTCCTTGTGACTTGGACCCCAAGAATCTTATCGATCTTAAGTTGCATTACAGCCAGATTAGACAAGTCTGGACTAGTGATAAGGTGTGTATCTTTTTTTCCCACTTATCAAGTCACAGTTTACTAGATGACTATCTTACATAATTTTTTTATTGGTCATCACAGGCTACACCAAGACTGAAGTGGGTTGATCTCAGTCATTCGAGTAAGTTGAGTTCCTTGTTGGGTTTATCAAAAGCACCAAATCTTTTGAGATTAAACCTCGAAGGCTGCACGAGTTTGGAGGAGTTATCCGGAGAGATATTACAAAACATGAAGAATCTCATTCTCTTGAATCTAAGAGGATGCACAGGTCTTGTGTCTCTGCCAAAGATCAGTCTATGTTCCTTGAAGATTCTCATCCTCAGTGGCTGCTCGAAGTTTCAGAAGTTTCAGGTGATTTCAGAAAATCTAGAAACTTTATACTTAAATGGCACTGCAATAGATAGGCTTCCTCCATCAGTTGGTAATCTCCAGAGACTTATCTTATTGGATTTGAAAGACTGCACAAATCTAGAGACTCTTTCTGATTGTACAAATCTATGGAATATGAGATCTCTTCAAGAACTCAAACTTTCTGGTTGTTCAAAGCTCAAGAGTTTTCCCAAGAACATAGAAAACTTGCGGAATTTGCTACTCGAAGGAACAGCAATAACAGAGATGCCACAAAATATTAACGGCATGTCTTTACTGCGACGTCTATGCTTAAGCAGGAGTGACGAAATCTGCACCCTGCAGTTTAACATCAACGAACTGTACCATTTGAAATGGCTAGAGTTAATGTATTGTAAGAATCTCACATCTCTTTTGGGGCTTCCACCAAATCTTCAATTCTTATATGCTCATGGTTGTACCTCACTGAAAACTGTGTCAAGTCCACTAGCCTTGCTTATCTCAACGGAGCAGATTCATTCTACGTTTATTTTCACCAACTGCCATGAACTGGAACAAGTCTCAAAGAATGATATCATGTCTAGCATACAGAATACAAGACATCCGACATCATATGATCAATATAATCGGGTATTCCTATTCTTCTCACACACTCTCACTCGCTCTCGCTCTCTGTGATCTACCCTCAAACATCAACATCTTATTATTTTCTTCCTGCGTCATTTTACTTTCAGGGTTTTGTAGTTAAATCCTTGATCAGTACTTGCTTTCCTGGAAGTGATGTACCTCAATGGTTCAAGCACCAAGCATTTGGATCAGTTCTAAAGCAGGAGCTGCCTCGGCATTGGTATGAAGGCAGAGTAAATGGGTTAGCTCTTTGTGTTGTTGTCTCGTTTAATAACTACAAAGACCAAAACAACGGTCTTCAAGTGAAATGCACCTTTGAGTTCACTGATCATGCCAATGTATCCTTGAGTCAGATAAGTTTCTTCGTCGGAGGCTGGACCAAGATTCCAGAAGATGAACTAAGCAAAATTGATTCGGACCATGTCTTCATTGGCTACAACAACTGGTTCTATATAAAATGTGAAGAAGATAGGCATAAGAATGGATGTGTTCCTACTAATGTTTCCCTTAGATTTGAAGTCACAGATGGTGCAAGTGAGGTTAAAGAATGCAAGGTTATGAAGTGTGGCTTTTCTTTGATTTATGAGTCAGAGGGAACTGAGAAGGTTTCTAGGGACGCAACATTTGATGCAAACTCGAAGATAGAGGAAAGTAAACTAAGTGAAACAAAATCTTACAAAACTGCAGAAGATGATGTTGATTTCTATGGTGAAGTGGCACAAGGGTTGGAGACTTGGAGTTTGATAAGTTGACTCTACTCAACCCCTTTATTAGCGAGGTGCATTAGTTTTTTTTTTTATATAAACAAAATGGGTTTGAATCCAAATGCATTTGGATGATATGGGTTATAAGGAATGAGTTAGTTACAGGTTAACCATTATTCATATATAAACTAGAGGAAAACCCGCGTGATGCTATGATATATTTTTTTCTTCTACCAAGTTTTTTATGTGAATAAAGCATCTAACCTAGCTTATTTTTAGTGTTAAGTACATATTTTAGCATGCAGATAACGAATCTTGGCTATCATAGAAATTATATCCTCCTTTGATCAGGACTTCATTCCAAACAATATTGATTGTTGGAAACTTGCCTTCGGTCTCAATCCTTCTCTCTTGATAGTAGTGGTTGAATTTCGGTTGTTCCGGCTCTTTAACTTTACCAACACTATTCAATTGCATCTGGTTAAACGCATTTCATATTGGTTATGTTCTATATCCATATTGTTCTTTATATTTTTTTCATTCTCGAGATTTTAAGTTGAAGAAATTTTAACCCTTCAAAAAAAAAAAACTTCTCGGCCAAATTGACTTGTACTTTGCCAAGCAAGGCTCAATTATTTCTTTAATCTGTAGTCAGTTTTGTTATTTTGATGAGGAATTCACTAAATCATTTTGATCGTTGAGAACTTTAGCTGTTAATGGATTCTTATTTAGCAAGTAACAGTAGCTTGTCATCCATGGAAACTAAACAGAGCAAGAGAAAACCAGAGTTGATATTCACAATCCAAATGGACCAAAACCAACCCAACCATACTATCTTCCTACTACACCTGTACACTAAATCGAAAACTGAATCTTTAGTCGCCTCAAGTACATTCTGTAATTCCAAACTCCAACTTTTTTTGTTATTCAAATTAAAGTATACAAAGTCTAAAAGAACATGGTTGCATGTGTATGATTATTTATCGTGTCAATTGTTTTTGAATTTCAAAGAAGCTCTTGGAGGTTCAATCAAACCCATGAGCTATTTTTTAGATTTTTTCTCTTTTTTAGTAGAGCTGAAAACATTGAATAATGATTAAACAAAATCTAACTTTGAGTTTAAGTAAGCACACTTTCTCCGACCCATTTCCTATTAGGTCTCTTCTATATCATATCCTCACTTTCTTCCGAGTCTCAGCCTTCACAAACCTCTTTCACCAGTCCTCATGATTCTCTCTTTTTTTCTCAATCGACCACTCATATTTTCTTATACACTTGGATCCTGGAGTTTTTTTAATGTGATTCATCAACTGAGACTTCAAATTAAAACTACTGGTGAAACAAAACATAGAAATTTATGCACTCTAAGGCAAAAAGTAGATGTATTTTTGAGATATTGTTTCTATTTATTTTCAAATTTAAATATTTTTACTGAGTTTTTTTTCTTTGTAATTTTCTTTTGGTATCTAGCTCCATTGGTGAAGCTATCAATTTTCTTCTTTTTCAAAGAAACCATGTTTTGCCTTTAGAAAAAAAAAATATTATGTTAGCTTACATGTTTGAAAAAAAACATATAATCGTGTGACTACCTATTAGTAAGTACCTTACTTTAAATTGATTTTCTTAATGGGAATTTAGGCATTTAGCTGTTTTTATTTTAATTAATTATTAGGTTGTTCTTTTAAAAGGTTAAACCAATTGGGTTTGGGCTTAGACTTGAGTTTAATTTAATAATTATAAAATGATGTGAATTATTATTGGTTGAGAAATCTGAGTTGTATAAGTATTAATCAAAATGTTTTTATTGGTTGACGATTTTAGTGAGGTATCAACCTTAGAATAGTTCAAAATGCTGAGGTGTCAAGCCTAGAAAGATCCTTAGTGTTTTTATTATATTGATATCCAAATTTCATTGACATTGCCATTTTAATTAGGTCAAGAAGTCAAGTGGCCAAACAAATCAAAGGAGTTAAGTCTCCCTTAAGATTTATGTTAAACACAAAACAACTTCATATCTCTGTTTAAAAAAAAAAAAAAAAGCCCCTTCTTAGTTTTGATAGCGTTATCTTTCTGTATGCCCTCGAAACTGTTCCGAGAACTCTTTAGTTATATTCCCTGGGATTCTAATTCTTTATCACATTAGATTTTCATTAGAGTGACAACACAGCCACACCACATTTAGGTATCTATATATGGGATTTTGCTGTGTTTATACGCGAGGGATATATTTACTTCTTCGACCACAACGTTTCCTCACATCTCGCGCATTAGAAGAACAAAGCGAGGATTTAGAATGTGACATTGAAGTGGTGAAAATCAAATGACGATAATAAAGTTTATGTGATCACAATTTCTTTAAACAAGCTTTCATTGCTCACACGGTCGCTAGAAAAGTAGTAATCAGAAAGAGTCACATGACATATTAATTACTTAAAATTATAAGCTTTTACATACAGGTTCGTATTGAAACCATACCCAAAGAGGGTCAAAGCGCATGCTGCAAGATCTATGCTTGAGCACTGTATACAGTTTAGCTTCCTTTAAGAAACAAAACATGTGATCAAAGTGATAAGAACTGTAATGTTATTTGAAGGAAGGACCAGTTTTATCTTATGTTTCTTTATGTGGAAACTTTTATCTGTAATTATTCAATATGAAGTTTTGCAGTTCTTAATTAATGTCCTATTAGAACAAAAAAAAAAGAAAAAAATTAATGTCCTATTAAGCTATATTGCTTCTTAGTTGATGCCAAGAGGTAGAATTGTTTCCTAAAAACCCGGCTTATTTAATATTTGCCAAAAATATTTGAACTTATTTTGTGTTAAGAAATACACATCCAATATTAGTTTATTCTTAAAAATTGGAGTTTTAATAATAACATCTTGGTATTAAAAATAACTGTTTTAACATATTTATACAAATTACAGATATATAAATTAAAAACAAACAATCGACCTTATTTTTTTACAATGATTTATCAAACTTGGTCGAATTAGGCATATGAGGTTTGTCCAACATGAGTTTTAATTGGATCAGTATTTGACACTATAAACTTTTTTTTTCTCTAATAACTTAGAGATTCTAGGCCTAGACTCGTATATCCATTTGCCCATAAATCATAGCATTTTATATAGTTCCCTTCCAAGTATCACTTGAACCGGGGAGATATAGGTTTTGCCTTAAGAGTCTCAGTTGAGCTATTGACACTTGGTGACACAGTCAATTAACTTGATCGATCTGATCAATTTCTCTTATGTCATTATTACCCTTACGAGTAAATTCTCTTTCCTCCGGCTCAACTTTTTTAAAAACACCTGGAGGGAGATAAAAGAAATTCAAAACTACTGGCTGTTCGAGATCCAAAAGCACTGGCTGATCGATCTGGGCACATGTGTTCGAGATGCTTTGCGAAATTTTATGAAGCTGAGTTGTTAATCCTTGTTGTAAATAATTCTGCTTTCGGCGTAAGTATTCTATACCGGCTTTCCCGGAGGAAAAATATATTTGGTTAAACCTTCGGTACAAGCGGTTTCCGGGGTGCTTCTTAGAGTAAGTTTGAAATTCAGCCGTTCTGGCATCAGTGCTGGCCTGAAAAGAAGATAAAGGGATGATCAAATTCAAAGACACGATGTCAAATCTCAAAATCTAAACAGAGTTTATTGGATCGACAAGTAGTTATTTTGGATCTGATCTTGAGTTATTCAATCAACGACTTAAGAATTGAAATTTGTCTACTTACTAATATTAAATTAAAATTTTGAAATCATATGTTATTAAATTATTTATTTAATCATTAATAAGAATAAAAATAAATAAACACATCATAGCTGAGCACCTTATATTTCCATACGATCTTTCACTTTATAAGAAATCCAAAACTCTTCTTAGATGTTAATATATATATATATATATATATATATATATATATATAAGAATTAAAATACTTTTAAATCAGCACCATTCATAATTTCGTATAGCTTTGAAGATGTTTTACAATGAATATATATATTTATCAGAGTAATATGACATACCAAAACAGCATGGTCATCGGATTGGAACGCCTCAATTTCTTGCAGTTCATCGTTCTCTTCATAGGGTATAGTGTGCATATATGTGTCCTTCACGATGTCACGAGATACGTTGTGGCCCGTAATATATACTTCACAACCTTCAGGCAACTCTGGTTCCATTTCTTCCGCATCCATGCCCTTAAACTCCTTGGCATATGACCGAAGATTAGAGGGATTCCCATTACAACATTCAATCACTTTCATTGAACGGTCCAGAAGAATCTCTTCTGTAACATCTCTCCCAAAGGCACACCTTGTGAATAGCTTCAGAGCATCTTGATCATTTAGACCTTTTAGCTCATAAATCTCATTCATATGGCAGTCCTTAAGAATTTGTGTCTCTCCCGAGGTTATGATAATCAAGCTCCCTGGACCAAACCTTTCAAATCCACCAAGAAAACTATTTGCATCTTCAGCATTTCGCACATTATCAAGAGAAACAATAACCCTTTTCTTGCGATGACATGGCTCTGAATCAGAACTATTTCGGTCAAACTTTTCCATTGGAGTCTCACTCAAGTATTCAGGAGACAAATTCTTAAGACTCTTCTCATTATATTCTGTGTGGAAATCTTTGATGAAGCATGAATCATCATAGCCACCAGACATTTGGCGAAAGACGGCTCTAGCCAAAGTCGTCTTGCCAACGCCAGGCTCACCAAAAATGCCTATGGTGCGAACGCCCCATGGTTGTTCGCACAACAAGTTTTCTATCTCCTCAACTGGTGACTGGATCCCAATCTCTTCTGTTGGATAGAGTCTCTCAAACACATCCCTGGCTATTTCATCTAAAAATTCAGTTTCACTGCAAACACATTTGTAAACGTTTATGTAAGGCTTTTGATATTTTTTATATCTCGAGATTAAATGATGAAAACTTTGAATTGTTTTAAATCGTTCTAATTAAAAAAAAAAATTAATCCTTCTAATTTTTCATAACAAATACCAACTTTAATTTTTAATTTTCAATTGTATTGGGGAAGAGACATTTCTGACAATTCCCCAAAAAGATTTGATGGAAGTTTTGTAATCATGAATGAAAATTATTTCATAACGTAACATGAAATTATTTTAACTTCCATAGAGATTGATATCTCATTATCAATCTTTTCAAAACATTTGTTTATATACAACTAAAAGCAGATATCAATTTATTTTCAAACAGGAAAGCCAAAATTTTTGTTGAACAATTTTAACTTCCCTATAATCAAATAGAAAACATATTTTTATTTCTATAAAGAAAATATAACTTTCCTACGTAAGCATAAATTTAGTTTGAAATACATTTTTATTCAATTAAAACAACCCCAATCAGTTTAGTTTGAAATACATTTCTAAATCATGCTTTAACTAGGATTTAAATATTTATTAAAATCTAGTATTCTTCAAAATTAAACGGCTTTTAAAATTTTGTAAATTCATTTAGAAATGAAATCTCTTCGAATTTTATGAGTAAAATATTAGAATCAAAATCTAAGGTATACTATAGAGATTTTGAAATTCATACAAATGGATTCTTAAATTAATATCAAATTTCAAATTTTAAAGATGGTTAAACCTTAGAGAATTAGTTTTGAGTTTTAACTCCAGAATTGAATAGCAACCCTCATATGATATGAAAGAAACAAATTAATATTATATTTATTCAAAAATTTATTAATAGCTTGGTACGGTATAAATATAGATTCACTGTCTACTTGTATATTTCTAGCAGGCCCGTCTCTACCCTTAGGCAAGGTAGGCAAATGCCAAGGGTCCAATATTAGTTTCAAAAAATTTCTTAAAGAAAAAGGTCCAAAATATATATATTTTTAAATTACTAAGAAGTTTTAACTTTTTTTTTTTGGTTTTGCCGTAGATCTCATTATATATTGAGACAGTATCGATTTCTAGGAAACCCAATCCTAATTTGAACGTAACTAGAATATAAAATTTGATCTAGTAGAAGATTTATCTGAAAATTAAGTATATATTTATTAAAACCTCGAAACCAGAAGGTCCAAACCATACAAAAAATTTCACATAGGAATTTTATTTGGATGCTAATATTCATAAACCAAATTTTAGGATTAAAATTGTGGTTAAAAATATAAATCAATTGAATATGATGAATTATAAAATTGACTAGAATAATGAAATAAAATGAATACTTTTAATCAGATGAATAGTTGTTATTTCATCGCTTTCTTTCCTATTTTAAGGAAAACAATTTCCAGCAGAATCATGTTTTTTGGGATTGAACATCTGAGGATTTTGAAATGACATTTAAAAAAAAATTGATATTTTATAAATAACTAAATGATATTCAATCTCGCATATGGCCCGAGTTATCGTCTAATTATCGTTTATAACAAAGGAAATTAACTGTTTTATTTTATAATGTGTGGTTTAATGGTATGAATTAGTGTTTTAGAGGAAAGAAATTGATTCTCTTTGAACTATATATTAAGCTTTAAGATACCTTCGTTTAGAATCATATTCATGGCGTCGTCGCAACTTATGCATTGATTGTTTGACCGCCTCAAAGGCGCCACCAAAATTTTCCAGAAGTTGCTTTACAGACGATTTACTGACACGATAGAAGACCGGAACCACCACAAAGTCGTCGTAGTTACGACATGAGTATATCTGTTTTTCCAAACATGGCAGATGAGACGCAAAGGTTTTGGAGAAAACCACCACGAGGACCTTTAATTTGGACACTCGTTCCTTTTCCCACTCCCTCTTTGAAGCTTCATGGCTGCTTTTACCATTCTTTGACACATAAATTCCTAGCCGGTTAAAAGCATCGCTGAGGTAGCTGATGAAGGAGGAGAGTGATGATCCTCAAGGTCAAAACTGACATACACCTCA